CTTTCCCTGGTGGTAGATATAGAGGAGCTTGGAGAGGTGGGCAAAGTTAAATATTTTAAATTGTTTATAGCATGGAGACTGTTAGTTTATGTGCTCTGCCACTAACTATCTAAAATGATAACATTCTGTTCATTAAATTTACTTAAGGAGCTCACCCACATCTGTAAGGTCATTTTTTTCTGTTCCAGTTATTTGTTGTTCACTAGTGCCCTTCAGGCAGTTCAGGCCATTAAGGTTAACTTGAATGCAAGAAGTAATTCCTTTTCCTAGGCACATGAAGAAAATACAGGAATGTCAAATTAGAAAGGAACTCCTGGTTCGTGGAGCCTAGTACCAAGCTCTTAAAGTGCTCATCAAGCTCCGTCTTAAAGCTGGGTAGAATTCCTCTCTCCTTACTTTTGTGTTGGAGATCTGTTCCAGAATGCTTGCTAGTCAGAGTTTCAGACTTAATCAGTCATCTGTTTTTAGCATTGCTATTTAAGTTCTCTTCTATACACCTGTTCCTCACCTTTCGACTTTTTTCCTAGAATTAGATTGTGCAGTGTAAATATCCTCTCACCTTTTATTTCATTGACAGAATAAGCTGAACTTAATTTCATTTCTGAGTTTCAACCTCTTTTACTTCTTAATGGCTCTTCACTGTTTCCATTTGACTGTGTTCTTCTCTGAATCTATGCAGCCAGTATTCCAGGTAAAACCTCCTCAGGACCTTGAATAATATTACTGCTTTCCTTTCTCCACTAGAAATACTTTGACTAATGCAATCTAAGATTAACATTTGTATTGTGCATGGTCTCCATATATTTGCAGTTTAGTTACTAGGTGTAGTACTTTCACATCTTTTCAAAATTGAGACAAGAATAAGATCTTCATTTCTTCTATAAAACGTTACTGATCCTGAAGAGCATGACCTTGCACTTTGTTTCTTGCTCTCTCTCTGGCTCTTTCTCTGGCTCTCTCAGTTTTTTGTTTTTGGTGTATGTGTTTTTTCTGTGATTAAACCAGCCCAAACACCAAACAACTCGTATATTAGCTCTGAGACTGATCCTCAAGAACTGCAGTAGAACTACACTTTTTTTGTGTGTGCTTGTAGTTAGCTGGGCTTGGCCATGCTGTAAAACTGAACTACTAGCATGTTAATAGTTTGCTTTTGTATGAGGTTAGAAATAATCCATTAACAATTATCGAATGACTCAAACCACAGTACGTTTTCTTTAACGGAGCCACTAGTTATAAAAGTATAGGATAGGCCATGGATGTCATAACTACCTGTGTTCTCATCTGTGAAGGTTTAGAGGATAGGAACCAATGAAAAGCTGAATTTTGTCGGTAAAGTCTTCGATGGCTTAATCAGACTGTAGGAGAAAAAATAGTGAGGAAATAGGTTTATCCAACTTTGTACTCTTTGTGCAGTCTTTCCTCTCTCTTTCTATCAAGCTACATCAAAATTCTATTTTTTGAGTGCAAGTTCTGTCTGCAATGAATCTTATTGGATTTTTGTTGCAAAGCATCTAGCAGTTTGTGCCATCACATGTCAGATGCCCCAACAAAATCTCACTGCTTCGTGGGAGCTGTGTTTATTCTTATTTAAACAAAAACAAA